TAATCATCTTTAAATCAGACTATTCAATTAACATCAAGAATTATACTAATAAATTTATATATATCATTTGATGCTTATTTTCAGAACTATATGGTATTTCTTATTTTTATTGTTTTTTTATATTTTTATTTTTTCTTTTATTATTTCATATTTATTTCTATAAATTATTATATTATTATAAAATTATTATTTATTTTTAGATATTTCTTTTTTATTTTTAATAATTATGTTTTTATTTTTTCTCATTCTTTATATTTTATATAATTATTATTCTTTTTTTTATATCTTTATATATATACATATTTCTTTTTCATTATTTTTATTAAATTTTATTTTTAGTAGTATAGGTTATACAAGTATTTTATATTTTATTTCTTTATTTTTTAATAAACTTTTATATAATTTTTTAATATAATTATAAGTTGCCTTCTTTTCTTTTTTATCATAAAGGTTTATTATTATTTATTTTGTAACTTTGGTAATTTGTTATTTATATCTCATAATTTATTTGTATTTTATAATATGTATATATTATTTATTATATAATTTGTATCTTTTAATATATAATTTTAGATATTTATTTATTTATTATGATCTCTGATTGATTAGTTTTTCCAATTTTTTAACATTATAATTTCTTCATAATGTTTTTTTATTGATAAAATCATGTGATATATATTTTATTAGTCTAAAGCATAAGCGAAGAACTAGAAATCTTAAAATTCAGTTTAATTTTAATCTGATCCTAAAACTCTCAATATTAAAGAAGACCTATCTATAAAACTTAAGTCTTAGATTGGATTCTAGAATCAGATCCTAAGACTGCAATTCTAAGACTGTAGTCTTATAGAAATTAGAACTTGCAGTTCTTAGACTATAGTTTTATAGAAAAATAATCATTCAAGAAGAATGATAAGTAATCATTCGACTTAAATAATAAAAAACATAAATATTCAAAATAATGATGATGAATTGTTCAACTTAAATGATAAAAGAAATAATTGTTCAAGAAGAATAATAATAAATTATTTGACTTAAATAATAAAAAAAATCATTCAAGAAAAACGATGATGAATTGTTCAACTTAAATGATAAAAAAATTATTTAAGAAAAATAATGATAAATTGTTTGACTTGAATGATAAAAAATCATTTAAGAAGAATGATAATGAATTGTTCAACTTGAACGATTATTCAAAAAGAATTATAATAAATTATTTAACTTAAACGATAAAAAAAATTGCTCAAGAAGAATGATGATGAATTGTTCAATTTGAATGATTATTTTTTTATAGGATTGCAATTCTAAGATCACAAGTCTTAATTTTGATAGGACTGTAGTTCTAGTATTGATTTATAATTAATATTCAATTTATATTGCTAAACTATTTTGTTAAGAAGTTATTATAGCTACTATAATAATCATAATTATATATCTAATATAATTTATAGTTTTTTTTTATAAGTTATGAGAATTGTGATAGTCTTTAATATATGATCTCTAGGATATATTGACTTTAAGAACTTTGTTTATACTATTAGATAACATTTATTATTAGTTACTATAATAGCTAATAACTTATATAAATTTTATTATTAAAGATTTTTCTATAATTTGTAATAGAATATTTTTTATATTCTTTCTTTGAATCCTTATTTTTTCAAGATTTTCTTTTTTCAATCTTATTTGAAGCTAATAAAAGTTTTGATTATTTAAGAGATAATAATATTTTTACATGAATTTTCAAATCTAATTTGTTGAAAAGTCCTTCAACTTGTTTTTGACAAATAATAATAAAATGATATATATATTAATGTAGAATTTTTCAAATTCATTTTCAAATTTTTTATTATTTAATTAAATCTGAAAGTATTGCTATTTTCATAATTAATATCATTTTCAAACATTTGCAAAATTTAAATTCCAATTCTATAGATGAATTAATCCAAGTTTTTTAAGAATTTACAATACAAAAATTATTTTCAAATGAGTCCACTAAGTTGAAAAATAAATTTGAGGCATTTTCCATTGAAGTATCCGAAATCTTTAAAATTTAATAATAACTTACTTATTATTAATGCTTAAGTAATACACGAAATTTAATAAATTTATGATAACTTTAAGTTATATAAAATACTATAAAGTATTCCTTTGTCATACTCATCTTTTATAATACTCATTTTTTGATATAAATAAAGCATTCAACAAGTAGAACCTTATAAAATTAATAAAAAATTAAGTTTAGTTTAATTTATTTATTTTAAGAGGCTTTTAATTCTGATGTCTTTTCAATAAAGTATTGATTTTACAGATTTTGCTTTAATATTATTGAATGGCAAATCCAATACAACTTTTAAAAAATGTTTTGATTGTGGAATGGTATAAAGCAGCTCTGAATGGTGCAAAGATTGTGAAATCAAAGGCTTCAAAGAAAATTTTAAAAATTGGTCAATTGATAATATTCATATTAAAAATTTTATTAGACATACTCGATTAAAGGCTACTAAAAGTGTAGATTATTTAGAATATATTGATTTTGAACAATTTGATCTCTTTGAAAATACAAATAAAAGGTGGATCCTTTTGTATAATTTATTCAGCAGTTTAGATAGAAGGTCTAAGGTGAATTTGGAATGAAGAAGTGGAACAATGGACTCATAATAGTCTCATAAAAGTTTCACTTAAAAAACTTAATGATTCACAAAATATTAGTAAAAAATATTTGAATCAAGTAAATCGTTAACTTTATTTTTTTTTAACAATTTACTTTTTAAGTTAATAATAATAACATTTATTAAATTTCTGCGTAGCTTTATGAATACCACTGGGTTTTACATTTTGGAAGTATTGCAGACTTTTTTGGAATAACTAAAGATCTTACTTTGAATTATCGTAAATGGTAGACTATAGTATCCTCTATAGTATAGTACTATACCCATAATTTTGATGCAAAAAGTCTGGGTACTATGTATGAAGAGTGCAAGATTTTTTTTACTTAATTTGTATAGTATCTGGGGGTATTATACTTTAGGGGATATTATACTATAAGGGGTATTATACTTAAAAATTTATATTGATCAGCATATACAATAAATAAAATTAAGTTTATTGATTTATCACAGTTATGACGTATACGACGTATTTATTTATTTTTGCGTTAAATTTATTAAGAATATGATTAAAATTATTATTTATCCACCAACTAATATTCATTTTCATAATCTGAAACTTCCTTTTCTTCATATTTATTTATATCAGACTCATCACTATTAATATTGTCACTATCACTATTGCTATCATCACTATCGCTACTATTGCTATCTCTATAAGAATCATCATCACTGTCATTACTAAAATCATTGATATTCTGAACTTTATCCTGCCCACTTTTCTTTTTTTTTGTATTATTAAGTAAACTATCATAATCGAACATCAAATTATCATCACTTCCATTTCTAATAACAGAAATTCTGCAACATTTAAATGACTTTTGAATTAAAGAAATATCTACACTAGCCCATAATTTTTTTATCCATTTAGCTACAATAGCATAAGAAGGACGTTTAATTCTTCCAGCAGATGTTAATTCGTGAATTTTAGAATTCATCCATTCATTATAATAGTAACGCAACTTTGCTTTAAAGCTTTTATTAATAACTATATCTAAAGGTTATAATTTACTTGTAAGACCACTAGGAATGACTACAATATTAGTTTGCTTCTCATTAAATCAATTTTTAACTAATTCAACAAGATGTTCACGAAAAGAATCTAAAACTAATAAAGACCTTGGGTTGTTAAATGCATTTCTTTGAGTCCATATATTCTCAATCTACTAGAGCATTTCTTGTTCATTACACCATACTTTTTTATTTACGCGTATATGAATTCTTTGAGGAAATGATTCTTTTGGTATATTTTTAAGCTTAAAAATACAAACAGCCAGTAGTTTTGTACCATCAGCCATACATCCTAATATAATAGTAAAATTTGTTTTTTCATGACCAGTAGTTTGTATATTAACAGTTAAAGTATCACGATAATCTAAAGTAGTTGAATAAGATAGATCAAATATAACCAGTGTTTCAAATATATCTTAATAGATAATCATGTTGAATTCGTCTATCTAAAACAAAACTTAAGAAATTTTGCTATTTTATCAAAAGATCATCAGGAAGATGTTGTGCAATATGTGTTCTTCTTCTTGTAACAAGATTATATCTTTTCATAAACCCCTCTAACCATGCTTCAGAAAATTTAAATTGAATAGTAATTGGATATAGATCTACCCAATTTTTTTCCTTAGCAATTATTTTGGCTCTTTTAATTAACATATTTTGTGTAACAGCTTTTGCATCCTTGCGTAAATCAGATACCTATAGAAAAAGATTTTTTTCAAATTCTGGAAGTGTTGCATTTTTACCTTTATATAATTTTTGTATATGTGGTGCTACACTTTCAAGTTGAGACTTTTGGTTCATCCACTAATGGATTTGTTTTGTTTCTACATCAAACCTTCTTGCTGCTAAATGTTTGCTTTTACATTGTTCAGCATGACTTACTATAAGTAGCTTTTCACGAGCACACCACTGCCTTCTTTTTTTTGTTGTTACCCGTGCTTTTTTGTTTTTACCTCGATGAACAACCATATTACTATACTTAAAAAGCATAGATAAATAAAACAAAGAAACAAAAACAAATTTATGAATTTAAGATTTGTACAAAGAGGTAAGAACGCGATTTTGATCTAAAAAATGATGATCTGCGATTTTCATATCCTTTTAATCCAAGCCACATTTTAGATCATCAATATTTTTTTAATTTATAAATTTCTGTGTATCCCCCCTTTTATTCAAAGTATCCCCTATAGTATAGTACCCTTCGAAATTCTTAAATTTGTATGATACTCGGGTACTATAGTCCACCATTTACGGTATATGTTTGTTTTGAAATATAATGATAATGTAGACCTAAATACTTTTCTTGATGAAAAATAAGGAATGCTTTGTTGGAAGGATGTTATTGAGATGCTTTGGGGAATATCTGGAAGAATTGAGCACATTCATAAAAATGGATTAATTAATAGCAATCTTCATGGAGGTAACGTGTTAATAGAAAATGAATCAGGTTCTGAATATATACATATTCTTGACGTAGAATTAAATGGTCCAGTTAATGAGAAAAAATCACATGAGATATATAGAGTTCTTCCTTACGCAGATCCTGAAATCTTAAAAGGAAATAAACCAACAACAGCAACAGATGTTTATAGTTTTGGAATTATCATGTAAACATTTTCTGCAGGTCTTCGCCCATGGTGTAATAGACCACATGATCTTGTTCTAGCCGCTGAAATTTGCTCTGGAGTTCGCCCTGAAATTATCAATGGAACTCCAGATGTTTACATTCAATTGATAACAAAATGCTAGGATTCCGATCCTTTGAAACGTCCAACCGCACCCCAATTATATGAGTTGTTTAGAAATTGGGTTAATCTCATTTGTGATAATCAAGATCAATCTGAACTATCTTTCCAATTTAATATAGCTGAAGAGAAAAAAATTTTGCATTTAGAACAAAATCAATTTTACAAACAGGAAATCCATCCTCAAGTTGTCTATACAAGTAGGCTCTTGCATTTTCCTGAATTAATTGATCCTACTAAATTATGAGATAAATATGAGTGATCCGATTTGGCAAAATAGTATTATTCTAAATTATGATTAATTAATAATAAGTAACAAATATTTAAGTCTAAAATGCTTAATGGCGTTATTACGATATTCTTTAAAGTATTTTTGATCACTTTATAAATATAACGAAATAATTTAATTTATCAAACTAATAAGGATAATTTTAACAGCAAACTAAAATCATATATACGATTTAATATCATGGAATGAGTTGGACGTTATAAATTAGTGATGATTGGGTCAACAAAAGTAAATATATAGAGTATATAGAGTTTAACTTACTTTAATATTTCGCAAATTTTTGTTTTTTATTTTTGAATTAAAAAAAAAATATTTTTTTCGTATTTTTTAAATTATCTAATTTCTATCCCTTAAACTGTAGGGCTTCTCAGGCAAATTTGCCTGCAAAAATTCTGAAATTCGAGTTTCATCTATTTTTTGAATTTATTAATTAACTTAAAAAATTTTTTTTATTATTTGATAATTCATCTTTTGAATAATTATTTTAAAATATATTTATACTTTCTTTTATAACAAAAGTGCCATTACTTATTTTTTTAAATTAAACAATTTTTTAATCTGAATAAAATATCCGAAAATTGTTTTATTCACCTTGACGATCTTTTCAAATATTTGCCGTAGCCATATATATAATATATGTAAATTGTAAATTTCAACATGAATTTTATTAATCGCAATATAAAAATTGATTAAAATATGTCCAATTTTAACTTCATATGGTAATAAAAATTAATAATAAAGTGTATTATTCAGTAATCTCATGAAAATCTTTAAAACACGAATGTTGTTTGTTACAACATAATGCTACGCCACAATTACTACACCAAATTTGTGATTGGGGAGGATTTTTTGAAGATGCTTCAT